TTACAGGCAAGCAAAGAAAGCTAGCATTCAGTTGAACCCTCTGTCTGTATCACCAGGTCAACCATAGGAGAATTCAGTTTCAAATAGTGCATACAGAATATTTCTAAATAGGTATTTTCTGAAAGCTTGTGTATTCTGACTGTGTAATCTTATTCCCAGCAAAACTCAGATATTGCCAGAGAGTAGCAGTGACAACACTTACTTGGACAAAGGAAAGACCTCAGGACTCTCATTTACAAACTTCTTAATGCATATTATCTGAATTACAGAACGAGATATTCTGAAACAGAAATCTTCCCAGTTTATGAAAAAAAAAACGGAGCATAAACTAAAATATTTATGTATCTATTACTGAACCTGGTAGAAGGGTGCTGGGAATGCAGAAGGGACAGAAAGAGAGTTCCTGTTCAGTACAGGAACCTGCAGCATAATGAGAATTGTCTCTATATGTGGAGGTAGGGAAATCTTTAAAACAGACAAACAATACAAAACACCTCGTACAATATGGCGCATAATAACGTATTTTGAGATCTGCTTCAGTCTGGATAATTTCCAGTGTCTCATTAAGCAAGACAATGCCATTTTTTGAAGCATAGAACAAATTTTGCTTGAAAGATTTGGGGAAGAGCATGTGCTACTGATGAGAGGGCTATAGATCTTGAGACTATTAGCAAAAAAATTTCTCTCTTGCTTCCATACCTGTCAAGCCACTCAAAGAAATCTTTGTCAGATAATGAGCCAGTGTTTCTTTCCACTGTGTCCAACCACTGTCTCTATCTGTACCACTCACATCTGGGTAAGGTAATATTAAAAGAAAAATTAGAGTTGTTGAGCAAGATGACTGAGAGATGTGGCAATGACACCGAGTCTCAACAAAAATCTCAGAATCTTAAAAAAATCTCAGAAAAATCTCTCTCAAAAGTCTCAGAAACTAGTTTGTTTTAGTAATTGTTTGAGATGAAGAACATATCCAACTGGGAGCATTCAACCTGTTCCCTTCAAGAACCGTGTTTATGACAACGGGTGTAATCTGTACCCCTGGGAGAAATGAGGGAGGATTCTGAGGGTCCTTCTTTGAAGGGTAGGTTATATACTTCATCTAATCCTAGAAATATTTCCTCATGAATCAATGTCACTTCTAGTTTATCCAGATCAGACATAAGCCTACTGGCTTCCTTCCTGGTTACTGGCAGAGGTTGGAGGAAGAGCAAGGAACATTATATCTGGGGCAGATGAAAAGGTGCGTTAGATCATCTTGCCTCAACAGATTGACCTCACTGCTTTCTGTAGGCAGGTTACAAAAAATGATGATGGGAATGAACCATACGGATTTCGGAATTGAAAACCAACAGGGATGAAAAAGAGTGATCAAATAACAACCTGTAGATTTGTCTGAAGCACTGGGTCAGAAGTATTGCAAAGGGAATTCTGTTCACCTTGCCAGGAATGGCAAACAGGTCAAGAGCATCTCTTGATGAATGGCAAGATGTCCGCCAAGACAGGAGATCATCAGACAGGATGTCTGGGGTATCTGTATTGGTTTTAGGAGTTGCCAAGAATTTTTATGTAGTTTCTTTGTAATGCAGTTGTTAAGTGTACAAGATCAAAAGGTATTTATAGTCTATAAGGACATCTTTACGGAGATGTTATTCTGAGGAAAAAGGCAAAACTGGAGACATTGTAAAATATTATTGGCTGAAATGCTGTTTTGTAAATCGCGAAAATCAAATGAGCTATGGTTAACAACTATGCCTGTTTTTAACTATTCACAGCTATGTAATGGTCTAAAAGATAAAAAAATTCTTCAAATATTGGCAAATTGCTGTTTTTCTAATTTCTTTGCTAGGAAATATTGTCAAACATGAAATCAAAGTCTCAGTCCCCACTAAAACTGTAGCTGTTTTATTTATACTTAGCAAATATTGAATATCTGAAACATAATGAGGAAAAGTGTCAGTGATATTTAGTAACCATAAAAGAATAAAGTAAAATAAGGGGATTTTTCAGAACAAAAAATGCTCCTTTCTAATATTTGTTCTTTTAGGCACTGGTGACATGCCCTTTCATTTGTAAACATGGGATCGTTCATGCTTTATTTTGCCTTGGGAATCTCTGCTATGATTAATTTAAGGAAAGTAATTTTGCTGGAATTAATATGATTGACAACTAGCCAAGAAAAACATATATGAACCCTCCCTCTGAGAAGAAAAGTGGTATAAAACAGAGGAAGACAAGAAACAAAAAAATGAGCAAAGTAATTTGTAGCCACATATAAAGTAACAATTTTAATTTTGATGGTGCTGTTTGTTGCTTTTTAATTTTGAGAATCTGGGCAATAATTTAATACAGAAAATGACTATTAACGATTGGTGAGCTTTTGCAAATAAATGCCACAATGTAGTAATAAAATGTCACTATTGTAGAGAATACTGAACCTTGTTCTATTTGCCCTGTAGGCAAGACATTATTTATGTAAAACCTCCAGCTCTTTTTATGTAGTGTGTGCATCTTCTAATAATACAAGGCCAAGATTATGAAGTGGGATCAAAAAAATGGTGATGACATATTTGCCTGTCAACAAATGCATCTCCAGAAAATCAAGTTATTGCTTGGAAATATCACAAGTTTTGATAAGGAATGTTATTTGAGGTAGGCAATGGGCTCGCTGCTAAGGCTTTTAGAAACTAGGGCCAGGTTCCTATTTTGCTGGATTTGTAATAATACATTAAGTCAGTTTGTTTAGAACTTTTTCTTATGCAAATATTTATATATTCCTTGACAAAAAGTAAGAGAGACTAATTTGACAAAATAAAAGTCAACTGGGATGTAAGCAGTCCAGCCTCAAATCTATGCATTGAATCAGATAGAGAAGGGATAAGCTGTTCCATCCATTTAAGTAGCTCTTAATAATTGTGAAATATAATGCAATATTTCAGCTGTTGTGCAATATTACATAGTAGTTCATGTTTTGCCTTCCTATAAGCAAAGCTAGAGATAAATGGCAAAATAATACAAGAATGAAAACTTATTAAGTATTCTGAAATTCCAAACTACTTTTTTTTCCAAAACTTATTTAAATAAGATAATAATTTTGGCTTTTCGATATTATTCTTCTTTATAGAAATGGACTGGTTTTGCTGAAAACACATTGTGACAAGGAACGTACACCCATCTCTAATCCAGAACACTTGAGACTGAGGCTTACATTTTAAAACGCAGTTTAAATTGCACTCATTGCTAGAGATGGAGGTGGTGATATATCTTCATGCTTCTTGTTGTAGAAATTCCCTTGGAGGCTAATCAACCCCATGGTAACCTCTCCTGCCCAACAAAGTCATTCTAGACTAGATTTATTATGCAACTCTCTATGTCTGACATTTACGCACATAGCCAGTCTTGTGACGATCAGTAGCGCATTGAACTAGTATGCCTTAGAAATGAAGACAAATTTTGGGGTACGATTTCTGAAGAAAGCTCTGCTTGTCCCCAAGGATTGTTTTCCCTAGCTTGTTGTGTAATTCTCAATTTTGTTATGATTTTACTTTTTTTTCTTTGTTATATGGAAATTGATTTTCAGGGCTGGATCCTTGTCTAATTAAATGGTAGTGCTTACAATGACTGTAACAGAACTATACTAAAGTACTTCAACAGTGGATCACCTTTTTCTCCTTTATGTCTGAAGTACTTCAACAGCGGATCAACTTTTTCTCCTTTGCATCTATATCCTGATATACACATAGATTTAGACATAGAGGAAATATGGAACATGGAGGAAAAATGTGGAAGGAAAAGTCGATTTTGGAAAGAGCAGGCTGCAATATTATTTGAGTATATATAACCCCATACATTTACAAATTATGCTGGCAAAGAGAAAGGAAAACTCATCTGCATTAGTGTCCATATCCTTTCTCAAGAAGCTGAATGATTTTTCCTTTTCTAATTTTTCTGTTCCAGAGAGCCATTGGTTATAGTGCAAAGTCTTTCATCCTGACGGCAGATCATTTCACTCTGGAGAAAGTCCCACTGCTTTTCACATAGGCAAAGTGCATTTTTTTTTTTTTTTACTGTAACCCTCTTTTTATGTTCTCTATATATCTCTAATGATATAGTGAAGAAAATAAAGAAAAAGCTCAGCCTCAGTGAGACCAGACCTTTCATATAGAGTTCTCAAATCCTTCCAAAGCAGGCAACAGGATATCCCAAAACATTAATTTTGTTCCCCATAGTGAACTTATTTTCTTCCCCAGATCAGTTTACAATGGCTTTGTCCCAGGTAAGTACGCAATAATAACCCCTCCATCCGTTCCCCATTTCTCTTGTCCAAGTCCTAGGTGACTGCCCTGCCCTAATCCTTCTACTGGGCCAAAATAAAAGCCCTTCCCTGAATGCAAGCAGCGGCACGTGACAAGTTAGATGCACTGCCAACATGTATTTTATATAAACAGAGAAGAAACATCTGTCTTCTTCATGCCCAGATGCTGACTGTTCTTTTCCCTGAGAGGTGTAACCTCTTGTGCAGCCTGAGCTCGCAGCCTCCTCTTGAAGCTAGCACTTTGACTTAACAGGTTTCCCTTGAAGTACATTTAGTAGGAGCAGTTCTGGATGTCAAAGAAATATAAACTGGAAGGGGTAACTGAGTGCAACCGAGCAATTTTGAAACTTCCCCTAAATGGCTTTCCCTCATCTCAGTGAATAGGTACCTACACCTTTAGGAACTGGACTTCAAAGAAGCTAAGATGTTTTCCGTCTCTTACAAGTTTAGTTTTTAAAGTGGCTACTAAACCAGTCTTGAACCCTGCTTTTTTATTTATGTTTGATTTAATAGGTTGGTGGGTAGAATTTTGATTCTGTTGTATACATGGTCTGCTTGTGTATTTCACACCATGTTTTTGAAATACAGCCAGTTTTCATGCTAGAACAGGAATACTTTTGTCAGAAACAACAGATACATTATTCACTTCCTTAAATTTTTTATTATCTGCCATGTCTTTTTTTCCCAGTGACCAGGTATTTGAAATTGGAGTACTGGATATTTTTGGATTTGAAGAATTTCAAAAGAATACGTTTGAACAGGTAAGTGGCTATGTTTTGCTGTATTTGCTGTAACTGGGCCAGTGAGTAGGAGGACAATACACTGGATTGGAAGAAAGATCAAAAAGGTCTTCAGATGCCTTGGACAAAAAATAGATCGAAAATGCTACATTATGCTAAGTGCCATTACTGGCAGATTCACCTCTGTGTGACTTCACAACATGTGACTTTTAAAAAAATTTAATTACATCCATGGAAAATAAATTAAACTTTAGCTCATTGAATGCTTAAAAATCCATTTAAATATCAAACATTTTTTGAAAATCATAGAACAGTTTGCCCACCTTCAGCATTAGTCTCTGAACACCAAAGCTCTTGTGAATTACGTATTTCTGAAAGCATTAGCAACTCTACACAACATGCTGAAAGAGATGTCTAAGTTATTGTTCAGTTGTTCATTCATTCTGTAATGCACCAGAAGAAAATCAAAGCATAGAATAGTAAATCAAAGCATAGAAAAGAATAGAGATGGCATCAGCAACAACAAAGGACTCGTTATTGTTTGAAATCAGAATTTGCCCCTTCATCCCAGTCAACCCTTTGTTTTATGGCTCAGCTTTCTCTTTCTAGTGAAACAGAAATCACAGAGCCACATTAGTTCAGTTTGTGTAGCACGTTTACATGCCTACCCGATAAGTTCTGCAACTGACATCATGAAATACCATGAATTCCAATTTCTTGGGTAAGTCATTTTCTGCTTAGTGACTGCAGACACTGCTTGAAGAGAAAATATGAGACTTAAAGAAAAATGAGTAAGAAGCAATTCATTTTATGATTTCTGAGTAGCAAACATGATAATTTCAAAATCAACTTTGCATTTTTATTTTATTTTTTCTAAATAAATATATTTCAAGAGACACTTACTGTCCCTTCACCTGGACTGAATGCATTTTGTGGAGTAATATTGAGTAATATTCTGAGTCATTACCTCAGAAACTACTGAACTGAATTCCTGAGAAGATAGAATAGAGGTGAGGGAATTACAAAGTTCATTTTTATATGGACTCTATAATGTGATTAACATATATGATTCCTGAAGTGACAGGCTGCAGTATCAATAAAGAGAAGTAGTTTGGATCTTCACATGGCACAACGTAGTTGTGCAGACGTACCCAAAACAGCCTGCACTCAAAAGCTTGAGCAGTCTAGCAGTCTAGCCTGGTTCAGTATTCTGCCTGGGCTCGTTAACCTTGATGATAAACAGGCTTGTTAGCCCAGATAGGGTCCTCATGCAAAACATTGCATCATGTCTGCAAACATGCCCAGTGTCAAGGCTTGTGATTGCAGAACGTTAACTTTAAATGTTACACCCAAACAGTGGAGGAGCCATAAAAATTATTTTTTCATCACATTTAGATTAACATATATTAAAATGGCATTACAAAACTAACTTGGGGAAAATGAATCTTTTGTTTCAAATTAGTGTAAGACAAGGAATTATTTGTGATAACTGTTTGCCTGCTTTCTTTAAAAAAAAAAAAAAAAATGCAACTGTTTTCAAGAAAGATTAAAACCTCCCAATTGCCCAAATCTGTGGACATTCCAAGCAGCTGCGTGAATCTTTCTGGTGCTTCAAATCAGGTCAGTTGATAGACAGTTTAATATCATAATTAAGAGAACAATATGATACTAAATCATCTGTCAATGTAGCAATTAATTTTAATAGACTGTGTTTGAAGACGGTTCAGGAAGAGAGAGATGGATAAACCAGGTAGAATAACTTGTTCACTCCAGTGAGTGTGTTGGAATGACGAGGCATCAGAGTATTGAAATGTCAAAGGCAAACAACGGTCTAGGAACGGTTTGTGAACAATGCATAGGACAATAGATGTCAAAGAATTAGAAAAGTAAGGTTAATTATCTCTACACCAAGAATCTGGTAACTTCTGCAGGCAAGATGACGTGACTGACAGCTTGGAAGGAGAAAAGTTTTATAAACGATTACAAAGAAGAAGGCATTAGAAGTTTAAAAAAGTATTAATTACGTGTTCAGTTTTCCCTGTATTTGGTGAACGTTGGTGAGCCTTCATTTTATAGAACATATGTGTGATACAGGATATTTACAATAGCTAAAATAGGACATGTAATTCTAAAGTAACAGTAAACAAGTGCATGAAATAAGCAATAGCGAGTCGAGCTGTGATTTTTGGTATGAAATGTAAAAGCTGAGAGACAAGGGGCATTGTTTTTAGAAACCACAGTCTGAGGGAGTCATTGCTCAATAAATACCGAAAGCTTCTGAATTACCAGGGCTCAGTGAGTTACTGCTCATCATCTGAGCTATGGTAAATGACTACAGTACACTTTTAGCTCACCCCAATTACAATTTACAATCACTTCCTAGCAGTGATTATTAGCTTGGGAACAGCATTTTCCTAGAGCAGCTGCATACCTGCTGTGCCAGTACAGCGTTGTAGACAGCCGCACTGGAACATGGTCAGAAGTAAGGACAGATTTGTCTGTCCTATTCTATACAGAAGCAGCCTTCAATTTGTGATCATCTCGGGAAATATGAGTGCTCTACCAAAAATAGCAATGGTAGATTTCAGTGTTCATTTTCAATGTTTTCTTAGGTTTCTTTTTTTGAGGGGAACTATATTTAAAGCTAGGTTAGATCTTATCTGTGGTTCCTTCACAGCACAACTCCAAATAGTGCATTCAAGGAATTCTGATATTTCTTTAAACCTTTATGCTGCTGTCTTCTTTATACCTTTGCGCTAGTATATTCTTTGACCACAAGAGCATGCAACGCAAACAGAAAGAACTCACAGCAAATGAACATAACAAGCAATAAGCAGGAGGGAAGGCTGATAAAATTGCCTGTATCATTGCCCCCTAATTGTTTCTAAGAAAATTGTAGTATACTAGAAGAACCAGACCTTAGAGTAGCAAGAGAAGCTTTTCTCCCCCTGCAGAAAGCCAGGTCTTTCTATGGAAATGGTGGTCTGTAGTCGTGGAAGCATCACAAAGAACAATAATGCAGTTAAATAAAATGGACTCTAGTAGTCTTTGCTCTCTGATGTCTAATTCAAGTGGTAAACTGAAAAAATGTTTAGCTCTTGCTAAATAAATTGTTTAGCTCTTGCATGGTATTTTGCCTCTGCAGACCTCTTAAGTTTTGCAGAAGAAAGTATATAAATATATACTCTTTTTTTATTGGAAATGTAAGCGGTTTATCGGAATTAAGACGATAGATGACGGGAACAGTCAAGTGTCTCTTGACTCCCATTCAACTCTATACCCATTAAAGCATGTGCGGCATGATCTGCGTGGTGCCGTAGAGCGCTGAGAGAGGGATGGCTCCCGTGGCAGCTCTGCGCAGCGCACCTCTCGCGATAGGAGCTGGCTGGCTCCAAGAGCACGGAGCCTTGCCTACCCCACTCAGGACTTCACAGTCACTATGGTGAAGCAGAAGAGCTCGTACAGCGCATCTGTATTTGGAATTTTCACCTATGTTTATTATTAGGTGTGGTAGGTTTTAACTTCTCAGCGCATTACTTTTTTCGTTAACCCTTCTGAGACTTCATTTAATTTTGTCCTGTGACCTTTCCTTGCCAAAACAGCCATAACAGAATATTTTTTTTATATTAAAGTGCATTGCCTCAGCCATGAGACCATTTCTAGCTATTCAAATGTAATCTCATGCTGCCTGTTTTGTAGATGGATGGATGTGAATAGGTAACAGTTACATGACTTAACTTTTCTACGGTCATTGCAGTCTCAGTGATAGCAGACGTGCGGTCACGCACTCAAGTTTTTGCATTCGGACAGTCTGAAGGAGCATTCCAATATTTCATTTTATGCAGAAGAAATCAGCTGCCTTTGATTTTGCCTGCCCAGAGCGTAGACAGTTGGTCCTGCTTGCCTCTGTACGAGCCTGTGGCATCGGCGGCTGCTGGTGCATGCTGAGCTCTGATCCCAGGCAGGGACTCGGATGCAGAACCTCCCGCTGCACTTCCCAGTGCTGGGGCATTCCTTATTCCCCATAGAATGAGGGACAGTGCTTAACTATCTTAATTCAGCCTTTAACCAGGAAAATGATGTGATGTTTTTAAGTCAGAGTTTTGCTAGCCTCCATGCACAGGAAGGTTTTAATATCCTTGTTGCAGAGCAGCAAGAGTCAGCGGATCCTTGGCATCAGGGAGGCAGGCACCAGGAGGACGCCAGGGCCAGCCATGGTGGGCCTGATGGGCACCATCCCGCAGGGCCTGAGTGTGGTGGGCAGAGCCAGGGCCAGTAAGGGCGCCCCCCGGGGCAGGGGGTCCTGTCAAGGAGCAGCTGGAGACAGGGCCGGAGAGCAGCACTGCCATGGTGGCACCTGGGGCTGGGCCCACGGGCAGGGTGTGGGTGGGGGGTGGTCCTGGGGAAAGCTGGGCGGGGCTGTAAAAGCCTACTCCTGCCTTCAGGGGCCTGGTGATCCTGCATTTTAATTTGTTCCTGTGGCTCTTGCATGGCTTTTTGTCATGGTGTACCCCTGTTCCCTCTCAGTCTATTTGGTCTTTTTTCCAGACTGCACACACGTCGTTTTCCATTTGTGTGGGACACTTGTCCGGCCAGCGTTCTAGTTGGCCTCTGGAAGACCAGTGCTACTCAGTTTGGAAGTTGGCTTATCATGTACCTGACATTAAAATGTCTATTTTTTTTCCTCTATTCTTTTACGGTAGACACATTTGTGGCCAAAATTAAATTCATCTATCTAAAATAGAGATTCACAGCTAGATTCAGTTTGTGATTGATTGGTGACATGCTGCACAGGATATTTATTAACCAGTATCTTACTTGTCCACAGCAGCACCCTTTTTTATCCCACAGTACTTGCTGGTCAGAAGGATGAGCGAAAAAATAATTTGGAACTGTTTCAGTACCTTTAATTCCAAATTCTTTCAAGGACAGACTGTTGTTACCATGCTTGTTTGCTTGTTTTCTTAATACTGTTCCACTTTGTATTGAAAATATGTCCCTTCTAGAGGGGCTTTTCAGACCCCCCCTTTGTTGAAGGCTTTTCAGGTGACAGCTACCCGTAATAAAATTTGAATATAGCACCAGGCTCTGTTTGACTTTATTTGAGGAGCACAGATCGGCTAATGGCAACTGACCCTGGAGATGACATGAATTCCCAGTGAAATAGTTCTTCTGACAGAAAGGCAGAAAATCTGTGTTGGAACTGCATGGAAAACAAGAAATCTATATTATTATCTACTGCCCCTAAAAGGCAAAGGAAAAAATGTAAGGGGTTCTGGGTTTGTTATACATTCATTAAAAATATTCTGACTGGCACTCTACTTAAAAAAGAGGATGTGGAAATGTCTGGGTAGCAGACAAAAGGGGGAACAGTGATCAAGATACTTCTGAGAAATAAGCGATTACAAACCTTAGGTTTAAATATATTTTCTGAGTCCAGCCTCAGTAGAAGATGATTCTGCCTTCCGCTATCTTAGCATTACATTTTTGAGAAATGCTAGAGCACATCCTTGCAAATTAAACTTGGCATTGTAGCTGCATCATCTTGGCCAATAACATACGGCTTGATAGATGTGTTGATATGACAGCTGTAAGCTTTACTCCACGCTCTGAATACGCATCCCTTGAGAGAGCTAATCCTTCTGCATGACCAAAGGATGTAAATGAGCTTTCCAAAGGGTGTTTACATCCATCGTTCCCACACTGATTGACAGTCACCAAGTTTTCTTTTCACAAATTCCCCTTTTTTTGGCTATGCCTTTTCAAATAGATAGTTATATAAAGCGAAGAACAGGAAAATTTCGTTAGTCATAGGTGCTTTTCTGTCTTCGGAGTATGGTACAATTTTGGTCTTCTGCCTAATTTTGAATTTGGATTATACTTAATAGCACTAACTGGTCAAATGTAGCAAAAAAAGAGAGATCAAGCTAACACTGTCTAATGTGATGAACACTTACTGCTTTTACCAAATGCCACTATGTTATTTTCCAAATTCTACAATGTGGATGATACTGCAAGTTGCTTGTTTAAACACGTGAACAAGAAATTATTTTTTTTCTTCTGATAATATTCTAGAAGTATTTTTTTTAATGAGCACTTGGACAAAGAGATATGGTGTATTTGTTTTCACGGAGACATGATAATGAGTTAGGATTAGAAAGGAAGACAGAAAGGAGGATTTCTTACAGAAACGACATACAGGGGAGCCAATGAGAGGCATGTGAAGAGCAGGTTAACAATATTTAATGACAAAAAGTACCATAGGTAATGCTGAGTAATGCTGCAAGGTGAACCAAATATACGATGCTTAAAGTTATTTCCACAACATTTCTTTTAGGTAAAAATTTCATTCTGTTTTCTTTTATTACTACTACATTTCCATCTAATTTTCATGGATGCAATTAAATACGTGCTTTAAAAATGTAGTTTTCTGAACTTTTCATATCTTTGGACAGAAAATATGTCATTGTTTTATATAATACTTCATGTGACATGGAGCAAAAGAAGTTGGGTTAGCAGTTAGTTTAGTTCATTTTAATCTGATTTCTACATTTCAGCTGTTTTAATTATTATGTCAACCTGTGTCAAGCTTTTAATTCATTTTATTACCTTTTCCCAGCGGGCCGTATAAAACACTGAAATGGAGAAAGATATGATCAGAATGTCTTGCTTTCCAGCAGTCCCTGGCTGGTCTCCTGGTTCTCATTCTGCAGAGCTGTTCCTCACAGCCACTGCTAGAGAGAGCAGCTTTGGAGGAACTTGCAGTTTGTATAAGCCCTTGAGCTTGCTTTCTGGTCTGGTTTGCAGAACCTCACCATCGTTATGGCAAGTCTGCCAGTCTGAATGATGGTATTGCTTATATTACTAAAAAGGACACCAGTGTATGCTATAGCATACTGATTAGTACAATTTAGAAATGGGGTTTTTTTTCTTTACCAGCTCAGCATGTTGTGTATGAACATTTTAACAAAATACTACACCTTTTACTTTTGGCAGCTAAAATCAATGCTATTTATCAGATCTTTTTAAGTTATGAAGTTGTGACTAAGACAGTCTTTCCCTTTGTCATGGTTTAACCCCATCCAGCAACTAAGCACCACCCAGCCGCTCGCTCACTTCCCCCCAGCGGGATGGGGGAGAGAATAGGAAGGGTAGATGTGAGAAAACTCATCGGTTGAAAGAAGAATAGTTTAATAATTGAAATAAAATAGAATAATAAAACAACAACAACAATAATAATGATAATATACAAAGCAAGTGATGCACAATGCAATTGCTCACCACCCACCAACCAAAGCCCAGCCCACCCCCGAGCAGCAGCCCCCTGGCCAGCTTTCCCCCAGTTTGTATGCTGAGCCATGATGTCAGGTGGTGTGGAATCCCCCTTTGGCCAGTTGGGGTCAGCTGCCCTGGCTGTGCCCCCTCCCAGCTTCTTGTGCATCTCCAGCCTACTCAGTCAGTAGAGCATGAGAAGCTGAAAAGTCCTTCATTTAGTGTAAGCCCTGCTTAGCAACAATCAAACCATCAGTGTGTTATCAACATTCTTCTCATCCTAAATCCAAACCACAGTGCTATGGCAGCTACCAGGAAAAAAATTAACTGTATCCCAGCCAAAGCCAGAACACGCTCCAGCTTGAATTGTATAGTTGTATAACTTTGCTGCACAGTCAGGTCCTCAAGTACATTTATTGTTATTATGTATTTTAGGAGTCTGGCACATGATAAAAAGAAAACTTGAGTTTATAGTGATTTTGTCAACTTTTCTTACGGTAAAATATACCTGTGTGTAGTTAAACGACACGGTTCTCTAAACAACTCATTTGCAGATAAAGATATACACAGTATGCATCATTTTAAGGCTCTACACATCATTTGAGGTATAAGCTTGTAATGTTATGTCTGCCTTCTAAAATAATGTTAAGAAGCTTCTGAAAAGATTTTGTAATTAGAATTAGAATTTGACAAGTGATCAGTAAAGTATATTTTGTCTGCCACAAAGTTAAAAAAGCTGTCTTCTTCCATAAAATAAGTAGATAGTATAAGTCAGTTGTATACTTTCATTTTTAATAAAATGAGAGAACAATCTGAATCTTTAGAAATCCCACTTTTAAAAAATAGCAATTGTATTCGAGGCTGTCTTTTGTCTGCTTTATCATGCATCGGCAAAGAAAGTTAATAACAGACATTTGGTAATAAAATGGGGTTTTTGTTTTATACTTTCTTACTATTTTTCACACAGGTCTATTTCATTGTATAGCAAGTGCAAGTTGACTATACTGGCATGAGATATTAATGGAAAATTCAGGCAGCTATTACATATTACCTGGGTTCTTTTCTCTCAGCTGAATATTAAGCCATGTACTTTTAGGATTGATCTAAATATTTCATATTTTTAATATGATTTGCTGGTGCATACTTCATTCGTGGAAGATACAGTTTAGGGCCAAAACAAAGATGTGAGTACTTCAGTCTGAAAAGAGACTGCATTGCAAGCACTCCTTGCATAATTCCTCATATAAAGGGTTATTCTTTCTGTTTTCTTAATTTCTTAGTGATAGGATAGCATTGGAGGAGATTTTATAATTTTCCACTAAAAATTCTACTTTAATATAAATAAAACAGTTAAAACATTTATTCCACAGTTATTAAATATTTACTTTTTTTTCAGATTGTGAGTTTGAATAAAATAGAAAAGGTCCCAAAATAAGCTGATACAACTCCCACCTGTTTTTAATTGAAAATCAGATTCCTATTAAACTCTTTACTTTGCATTGTATATATGGGCAAAACACAACGAGTTCTTCAGAGACTGCTTTAGACTTCAGTGACGTTATATGTCGAAGCAGGGTTTCAATGTCTGTGAATGTTGAACTAACTACAGAGTCAGGATCCTACCAAATATGTAGTAATTTTTTTTCTAAAAGCACTTTCCTTCTGTGTAGGTTTCCTGAATACAAACTGCAGAAGAATATTAAGTGTACCGATTTATACATAGAGTTACCCCATTTCAATCAATAGAATTAGTGTAAATTTGCACTGTATTTGTTAATGCTGGTACCTGATAATTCTTATGTGGAATTCACAATGAACTGTGCAGGCAGAAAACTGTTTATTCCCAATTTAATACTAATAGCTGTTAAAATGTAAATTTCCCTAGGGTCTTGCTAATCTATGGTCTGCCGAGAGATAACATATTGTGGATTGACATTTCATCAAATTCAATATTAGACGTGCAGTAAAACCTACACCGATGAATTATCCAGTAAACTTCTAATACTCTTTTTTTTTTTTTTCCTTCTTTTTACAATAGCTATGTGTCAACATGACCAATGAGAAGATACACCAGTACATCAGCGAGGTGCTTTTCCTACAAGAGCAAGCAGAATGTGTACAAGAGGGAGTTGCCATGGAAACGGTGTATTCTCCTGGTAACCATACCGCAGCCTTGGATTTTTTCTTTCAGGTAGTTTGCAGAGCCATTTTCCACCATGTATATTTATACACAGTCTCTGCATGTTAGACGAATACCAACTTTTGCCTGCATTTTCTGGTTTATGAATCTGCAGGGAAGGTTATGGGTCCAAAGAGACCACAGGGAGGGCTGTCATAGCTGCCCCCATAGCTCGAGGGCTAACAGAGCTTTCTAACAGTCCAGGGCTGAAGAAGATGTAACAGAAACTCCTCGCCTGTACTGGTTCACGCATAGCATCTGTGTGTCGTGCCACGTTGTTAATGCGGCTGTAGGACTGACGAGGCTCTGTTGTAAGCGTGGCAGTTTCTTCTGTGCTCAAAGCTAATTTCTGGAGTAGAACTTCTAAGAAGGAAGTAGCCCAATCGGTTTCCTAAAATATTATCAATATTTACCATTTTTGGCAACTGAAACATTATTCCCTACGTTTCTTGCAGCATTTTCTGATGTGCATAGCCTCGGAGACTTAGCAGAATATTTTAACCATTTTCTCCTTTTTTTTGAGGAGATACATATTTCTGTTTACTAAGTTACAAGCTGTGTTACTGTACAAGGAACAACGGAAATTCGATTGCTCCCATATAAAACGATAAAAAATTCTTTTTCATTTCAGAAACCATCAGGCTTTTTGTCAATGCTGGACGAAGAAAGCCAATCTGTTTGGTCAGTGGAACAGAGCCTTTCTAAACGCATTCAGTCTTACCTGGATTCATCAGACACAAATACAGTATATTCCTCCACAAAAGATGGAAATGGTAACCTTGCCCCAAAGGATCAGGGCTCCACATTCACTGTAATGCATTATGCTGGGAGGGTAAGTTGTTTGAATGATTGGTTGCCCGCAGTTAATGACAGAGTAAAGAAAACAAAGTTCTGCGTGGCTTCCCCAACTCCTGGCTTTAAATAACAATTCACTTTCTAGTGATGAATTTTCAGAGGACAGCTTAGAATCTCAATGCAATATCTAGGGTATAAAATCTGTGGTCTGTATCATATTGTGCAGGATTTGGGCTACCTAATTCTGTCTCCTAAGTTGTATCTTCCTCGTAAGCACTTTATGAAGAAGGGGGTGATTCAGATACCTCAGCATAAATGTTTAATGCCATTTTAGTTGGCTGTCACTTTGCTTTCAGATGTTGTTCCAGAACAGTATATGTTCCCTATAGATCCTGAGCCATGTATGTAGATACCGGCATGCATCTGGCGAAAACCCCACAGTTTTTTGTTAGTAGTCATAATCAAAATATATTTTTTTTTCTTTTTTTTTTCCCTCAAAATCCCAGAACATGATAAATGTCTCTAAATATGGCTGTAAAACAGGAGGAATGTTTTGCATTTCCCCTCCTGCAGTGTTCACAGGAAGAGTAATCAGTTCTGTAAAATAGGCCTCTTAAACTTTTCTTTCCAATAGTCCCTCATTTTCACATTGCCTCTACAACCACCCGCAACTGAAAGCAGGCAAAATAGGTATGTATTTAAAAGGATAATTTTTTTTTTTTTTTTAGATAATCTAACAGATTGGCCCCTCTGTGATTAATCTGACATGCTGCCACTTTTCTGTGTAGTATCTGAAATGAGCAAATGAATGTAGATTGTATGGGCACAATACAACGGGGGCTCTTAGTTATCACTTTTCCAAAATTTCCTCTGAAATCAGGTGAGAGCATAGACTGAAGGCTGCAGGAATCAGTCCTTACCTCTGAACAACTTGTCCTGTGTCCTTTCACACTTTCTCAGTCTTATGCAGATGATCCCATGAGCTATCCATCCACTGATGGAGTCCCATACAAGTTTTGTGCATAGCACATTTAGAAACTGTTTAGCTACTGTGCCTCAAAACCACAGCATCATGATCGTATGTACTGCGTTGTTTATAAATATAACTGCAAGTGTTATTAGTTGATGACTCTATGTAGTAGGTCACTTTAAACCTGAGATCTCAGTAAAGCCTGCTGTCAGGCAGAAACTGTTTTTTTCAGGATTTAGTGGCAGCCTGTGATACGTACCTAATGACTTCTGAATCCACTGTGGATGACACGTGGAAACTGCAGGTGCTTCAGTATAACCAGACAACTGACACCTGGATGCTCCTGTCTATACCTAAGCAACAGACAGAAGAGATGAGTTCCATGAGCAAGAAATTGGGCAACCATGATAAAGTCTTTGCAGTAGAATGCATATTACAGTTCTAAAACAAACGTAATAGCTTTGCTGCTGCTTACTGTGAGAGATAATTAGAGCAACCTTCCCTCACGTGATTTTCTGAGTAGCATATGCAGGGGGTTTATCTGGTATGCTGCTAAAAAAATCAGTTTAGATTCAGAAGGGAGTCCTGTGTGCTTGCTAGGGTGAGAACACCAGAAAAATAACTCTAATCCATGCTGATAAAGGTACTGGATGACACACTTCCTGTTACGATGAATATTTTACGTGGAACAGATTTATGCTGTTGAACACCCAGTCAGTCAACTATTGGTAGTGCGTAGTCTTATGAAGTGTGTTCAAGACTTGTCTCCAAGTCACCAAAAAAAGACTTGCTAGTTCTGTCATATCTCAAGGTAACATTATACACTCTGAGCTCACCAGATGAGAGGTTGGAATGTGCAACGCTTAGGCTTCTTTAACCAGTGTCCTTTACAGCAATATAAATGAGGAAAGGTCTATTTTGTGGCTCCTCATTTGGAAATGAAGTCGATGGAAGTGTTGAGTAGTGCTCTGACGCAGGCAAATTTGTTCCTGCCCAATGATAGAAATGTCGTCACTATGGAAAGGATTAAGAGTATTTGGGCAGTGCTTAAATTCCTAACCTAAATAGTCTGAATAACTCCCTGGAGGCTCTTCTTTCATTATAATGCCTTCTACTTAGACTCAACTTATTTGCCAAAGTTAAGTGGTTTGAAAACCTCCACTATTGGGACTTTTCAGTAGGAATGCAGGCAGGCAGTGGTTAGATAACAGCACAGTGAGGATTTTGTGACACTTATTAGCACTTAAAGTGATAGAGTTAAGAACTGACCATGGACTCCAGATGTCTAATTTCATTTATACTTGTTAGGTAAATATTTTTTCATGGAGTTCTGTTGTGATTATACAAGTTTATCACCATAGTTCTAAAAGGTTCCACACACCAAAAAACTGACATGGAAGCAGCAGCAAGGTGGCTGCATTAAAATCACAACCAGAATAATAAGCACATTTCTTCAAAATTTTAAAAATGTTTGTCTTACTCTCTGAAGAAGCACTCTGTAGGAAGATTTGTTAAGAACAAGGTTTCAGGTGGCTAGTTCTGAAAGTTAAACTGTCAGTGGTAAGGAGTACACTTTTCATTAACCTGCATTTTAGCCTTGCATGGTTTAGATTTTTTTTTTTTTTTTTTTATAACACAGGCGCCTAGTTTGACCTTTTCCTAATAATAGTAATGGCAATTAATCAAAAAGTATGAACAAATAGACAGGTCTCCAAGTAATGTAAATTCACACATTCTTTTGAAGTCAGTGGAGATCCTTTGATTTACATTGGCCAAGGAACTATTCCAGTCAGGTTGTTCTTTGCATCCTTAGGACAGTAAAATGCTCGGCCCTGCCAAAACAGAAAAGTTCCCGTGCAAGTGCTCAACTCTCCTTACTTTAATAGTGATTGAGCAAAATCCTTAAAGACACTTGCATTTTTGATATCTCATAGAACAGTTATCTAGCTATCATAGAGTGAAATTTCCAGTGACTTATTTTATGTATGTACATAAAATCTGATGATAACATTACTGTACTAACTAATGACACAAACTGAGTTTATTCTGAGACTAGTATGTCTTCATGAGTTGATAAGTTGAATATGAAAAACTAGGATTTTAAAACCACTGATGCTGTTCTTTAGATTGTCCTATTACTACATTTAGTAGCTTTTTATAAAAGTAATTTGTGATTTATACTTTATGAAAATTGATAAAGGATCAGGCTTTTAAATATATCAGGCTTTATTGGCTCTCAAAAGTAAGAATGTTACATATAAAGTAACAGTATATTTTGGCAGGTTTTGAGAGCCATTTTTATAGTCCGATATCAATTAAATGAGTCCAAAGTAAGTGAAGTATAAAACAATCTTTCTCTGCATCATTACCTTCAGAGATCCCCAAATTTAAAACAAGGGGGCTTGCTTTTATTCTCACTCACCACAGTTTTTCACCAATTGTAACTCCTTTAACTTGGTAAAGATTCACATTATTTACAAGAGCGTAACTGAAAGATGAATCAGACCCAGAGGGTAGAAAAAGAATTACCAGTAAAATGTGACAGATAATTGAACATGAAATTTTTCATTTCTAGGCTTAATCATTTATATTTGGGTGATGTGTCTAGGCTGGTGTTGGTGGAGGAAGCCACACTGGATGCAGGCTCTGTGTTCGGAGGTGAAGGCAGGCAACCTGATTTCTCTAGGTAACAAAAGTTGTAACTGCAATGTAGTTCACAGCCAATGTGGAACTGCTGCTACTCCAAGTCGTCTAGAGAAAAAAGAAAGCGAATAGTCTATGTTGGCCCTAGTATGAATCTCACATGGAGCTCCGTAATTTAGGCTCCTTTTCATCAGTACTTTATGTATGTAGCTCGAAGTCCAGAAAGAATTGCATTCATATCTTTACTCAGACACTTACAGTAGCTATTTTAGGAACTCTTAAGTGCAGTTATACTGGAAAACACAGCAATTAAAAATACTGCCTCACTGAAGAGACCTACTTTTGTATATTTAATTGAGATTGGCAGGCAACCTTTTCTGAATAAAACTGGTATCTCTAGCTTTCTATTATGAGTGAATTACAGCTGATACAGATGTGTCCATGCAGTTTTAAAGACCTCTGACATGTTCGTACCTTACCATTTTGTGTCAGGATACTCACAGGAGAATTATCTTTCCTTCCACTACCACGTCTTTTTTGATTGATTGTAGTCATGCATTGTCAGGTATCACCCATTCCCTTATGTTTTATGCTCAGTAGCTTTTCTTAGGACAACACATGCCATATTATTGATCCAAGCCTAATGAGCTTTAGACCATTCCAGAAAAAGCAGAACTGAGAGAAAAAGAGATAACGGGTCAGAGGTGAAAAAAAGGAAAGCATGAGGTCAAAGTGAGATGAAGAAGAGGCTCAGAGTAAAGTGTAAGGGGAAAAAAAAAAGACAAAAACCCAAAGAATGTGGAATCCATACTTGATTTTCTGGCGGAAGCAGTACTTTAAGAAAATCTGTATGTATGGTACCATTCTGAGAAACCTTTGATTTTTTCTTAATTTTTTTTACTGTCTTGGAATGAAGAAAGTGGAATAAAGGAGGAAAACAATATGCACAAGTAAGCTTCTGCACATAGAATAAATCAACACAGGGTGACATTTTTCAGTGGAAGCTGAGAGAATACTGTATTACACAAATGTGACAGAGTGATCCTGCGGAAGAAAGAAAACAACTTTTTCTTCATTTCTCTTGAATTTATTATGCCTGCACAACACTAAATCTATGTTTTTCTGCATGAGCAATATGATACAGTTGTTAACTATATGAACACATGCTTAGCAAAGGCCACTGTGAACATTAGTACTTTATCATATCAAGTATTTTACTTTATCTCCTAGTTTTAATTTTGCGGCTGAACAGAATCCTACAATGCTTTGACACATTATGAGTCTCTTCTAAGAGCTATTTAATGTCTTGGTATCTGAGTGCTATAAGACAAAAAGCTTATCTGTTCTGTTCAGGCAGAAGGTAGAAAAGAATGATTTAGGTTTTGTAAGACTAAAAAAAAAAATCCTAGTGGAAGGCTTTATCTGAAGGTTGTTTAACACATTTCCCTGAACACTGGCAGTCTGATCTCTTCTGGAAAAAAATCTGCTCGTCTGGGGCATTGCTTTGTTTCTGATGCTTGACACAAATGTGGGTATTCTCAGCTGCTTCTCATGGAGACCGGCTGCCTGGCAGCACCGTGAGAGGAGGGGCACGCCAGTTCCACGCTGTACACCGCAAGCTTGCCTTGCAGAAGCGAAGTGTTTTATGGGTGCACTGGATCAATGCACCTGACTATCAGCTGAAACTATACTCAGAATGTGTAATACTGAATTTCTAGGTACTTCTATTGATAACATTAATATTTACATTGTCAACTCTCACGTAACCAAGGGCTTCTCATGAATTATATCTCTGAACTGTCAGCTGTACTGGTAGTCGTGATTTTTGAAGAATAACGTTCCATTAGCAAACTTTCTCGAGGACTCAAAGTTCTTTTTTTAAATTTTATGGAAGAATTAACATATCAATAAGTAAATCAGAAATATATTCTCTTAGCACAATGCCAAGCGACACAGCTTTACCTAATAGTGGTATTTAACATACCGGTGTTCAAGATAATGAGCTATTTGCCCCATTGTTCATGTAATGTGAATTTAATCATAATTTAAGCTTTCTGCTTGAATTTACAAATCAGATAAGCCACTTGTCGCTGTTTGCCTTGCCACTGACTTATAGTACCATAATAAACCGATCAGACCTAAAGACCAACTTCTTTGCTCTATAAACTAGCGCACATCATGTCCTTTAAGTGCAGATCAATGTCTGCTCCATTTCTCAGCTACATGCATTTCAAAAATACCTCTCAGCTGTCAGCTCACCTTTACCAATGCAGTCTTCTCTGAAATGCCTTATATATTCCAGGCAGACTCTGAAACTGAACCTCTAAATCAGAAGACAAAAGGAGATGGATTAATCAATAAGGATGCTTTCATTTTCTCTATTTTTTCCCCAGGCTGAATCCCCAGACATAACAATCAAATCAGTCTAGTCTAAACTATACCAAGGCCTATAAAGGTTACTTGACAAAGATTCTCTTTTTCACACAGACAAGATAGCCGTGTTTTTCTCCCTTTCTCTCTCTCTTTCTTCCTTTAAGTAGACTTGATTTTGGACTTTCACTTACAGGAGAAAATAATAGAACACTTCCCCCCACCCTCCTATTTTGTTTCTAAATATCTGCTGCTTTCAGTATGCTACCATATCTATCACAATGTTAGAGTAAGACTTTACGGACCACATAAAATTATTTACTTCACTCATTGCTTAACTAGACTTGTTTTGTGAGGGTGAAAAGCCCAGAGATCCTAAAAAAAAAAAATGGCACATTCAAGCATTTAAATGATATCACTCACATTTAAGTACTGGCAGAAAATTAACAACTACACATGACCCTCTGTGCACTGAAATTGTCTTTGGACTCGTTCTCAAAAATTTATCTTTTAAACATATGAACCGCTGATTTTCTTATTAACTAAATTTAACACATGTAAAACTGTGAGTTTCTGAGTTAAATTTTGTATTAAAATAATAAAATTTTCCCTTTTAACTGTGAATGCAGCCAAATCAACATTCCAGGTGGCATGGTCATAGCTTGTTTTAGAGTTCCTGCTGGATCTGCCATTAACCGTGAGTGCTTTTGGCCTATCACAAGATATGAAAACTATTTACAGAAAAGAGTATTTGAAGGAATTGCTGAAAACTATGTGTAAAGGTGGCCCTGTTGATAAAGTGTATTGGGAAATCCAATAAACTGAGATAAAGTCCCTTACCAAAGTCAGATGTTATGAGGGCGTATACTTAGTTCAGAAGAGAAGATGTACCACGGAGTGGCATGAGGTTAATTAATGAAGCGAAGAGGCAAGAGTATGTAACAAGATAAGAGGAATATGCGGTTCCCAAAGTTTTTGGTGTGTGAGCTGCCTGTTTTCTGGGTGTTGGTTTTTTACCTGTTATTTGTATCTGCTAGTTCTCATGATATTAAAACCAGCTATGCTAACTTGAATGATCAGAAAACAGGTTCAAAACAAATAAAATCAAGTATTTTTTTACATAGCTAGTAACTAGTGAAACTCCTTGTCACAGGGTGTTACAGATGCCGAAAATGTTAATGAGATCTGGAAACAGAGACTGTAGGAGAAAACGTCAGTCAAGAGATATTAAACACAAAGATGAGATACAGCCTACAGGGCAAGAGCTCCCTCATGGGTAGAGCCCTGGAAGCTGAGAGGGAGCTGGTGGGACTCAGAGTGGAAGTATTGCTCAATATTTTTCCCTAAATATCCAGGACTAGGTAAACATTTGGCCTGCCCCACTACCACTGTGCTTAGGTTAAGATCTCTTCCTTTCTGAATTTAAATCGAGAATGAAAGCAAATCCAATCCCTTTCTTGTTTTAATCTGTTTTAATGAAATAAAATGCAGTGCGGCACTGCACACTATTTTATTTTTTAACAAAAACAGTTCAACTAGTTCAGATAGAATCTAAAGATCTTGTTTCCTTCGGTTAACAGACACGTAGGTTTGCATACTGTCTGCCCCGAAGAGTTCATCATGTAAAGCATGATAGAGCAAACAGCTGCAATAAATAGAGTGAGAATAAGGACTATGTTTTATAATACTGGAACCATGATCTAAGCAAGTGCACATTTCCTGTCTGAGTCATATAATATTTGTTTGGCTTTTGTCTCCCCAGAATAACTATCCACTGTGCTTGAGTGCCAACCAGTGCAGAGTTTTGGACAGGTTTACTTTAGAAACCCAGTGGAAGAAAACCGGGGGAAATACATGTGCTTGAGGCAAAGTGCTATGTAAATTGGCATCTCTGATGAGGGCAGGATTAAATTAACAAAATTGGCAGCTTGAAGAGGACTTCTTTCTTTTTCTCTTTTGTGGGACTGACAATGAATATGGAACCCTCGAGTGCCATTTCATTGAGTTGGTTTTCATGTCTTTAGGCAGTGAATTAATTTACCAAGTCTATGGGAAAACTGTTAGAGAGTTAGCAATTTCTTCATAAAAGGGAATCCTGCTAACTTTTATGTATTTTATGTAATATGAGAGATGTTTTATGAATATAGTTCTAGAAGTTGGCGATGTATTATACCAGCACCAGTACTGAAACTTCTTCCTGTTTCAATCTAGGCACTTAATCATGATATAGTATCTCCCACTGCTATATTTACCTACTCTACCCACCTATACTAACCCTCTCCTTCTAATTTAGTCAAAGCCTAAGACACTCAATTACGAACTGGCGTTATGGATTTGTCAAATAAGTTCTGTTAATTATCTTTTATGGACCAGTATGGTAGAATATTTTCTTTAAGTACACTGAAAGCATTTAATAGTGTACTGAAATTATTCTAGTAGTTTGCTAACTATGTTGTATGTTCTTAGGAGATGCAATTAGAAAATTATATAACATTGCATCTGTCATGGAAAAGAACATAATTCTATTGTTATATCTTTTCCATGTCAGATGCCATACTAATTACATCATTTGACAACTACTAGCTGTAACAGATTATACACATCCAAGTCATGTAATCTCTTTCATGAGTAAGATAGCATTACGTAATTGTCAAATGACCCAATGGAAAACAAAATTAATTCACTGAGTAGTATTACTTATCTTAATTATATATTTACAGCTTTATTAAATATACAAGGATAAAATCTCCCCAAATATCTAAGGAGGTTAGGGTATAGATCCAATAAAAAACTTTAAAAAGGCTTTAGATAGAAACATGGTCCCAGGGTAAATAAAACCAAACTGTATTCCAAGAAGTTTCCGTTAAATGTCTGCCTAATCCTGGAGGTACTACAATCTATAATTTTCTTCCTTTTTAATTTAAAAATTCTCTTTGGCTTCTACTACCAGGCAAGTCAGTGCTGTTTATATCTAAAGCCTATACATTAACTAGTTGTTTATCTTCCATCCCCATAAAAAGTGGGGTCAGTGACTGTTTTTTGGTCTTAGTGCTGCTATTCTGTAGTGTGTCCTGGGATGGGCTCAACGTTAAGACAGCCACTTGGTCTTATTTCTTCAGTTTGGATGTACCCTCAGGAACTCTGGCTGGAGCATTGCATTTTGCTCACTTCTCAGAGTGCCCACCACATGTGTTAGAGTTTATCTGCAGTCAGATGACAGATGGAGTGACATTCCAGCTGTCTAAGTCTTGAAATTACGGCACCAGGCAACTAAGGTGATCCAAAATTCTTATGCACACAGTTGTTAGAAAAGTAAATGAGATTTGAGCATAACCTATGGAATAAATTTGCCTCCAAAGAACATATAAATGGCTGGAACTTGTCTTGAGTGTCAGCTGGGACTCAGATTGCTCCATGAGTGTTTTGTCCTGGTCAGTGTGGACAGTTTCCCGTTGACAAGGAGATCTGTAATCTGGGAGTCACTCGCTCATCCTACAGGGAAAGTGATGTTTAGGTCACTGTCTTCTGCTCTACACTACACTTCTGATTCAAAGTCTCGCATTGTGGGAATGTTTCAGAATCGGCCTGATGACATTTCTGTATACTTGCAGAGACACACAATGTTCAACAACCAGTTCTTCTGGTTAGTATTGTTGCACTAGGAAAGGAACAAAAGACACTACCTGGTGCCAGCCTTTAACTGTTGAGTGGAAAAAACCCCATAGCCTCATTTCTACTGCTGTAAGATTTTTAAAAGATGCATTGGTCATTACTAATGATGTCACAATATTTTATTATAGGTTACTTATGAAATTGCTGGTGCGATAGAAAAAAATAAAGATTCCCTTTCACAAAATCTCGTGTTTGTAATGAAAAGTAAGTAAATGTTTTGTGGTTGCTGTTGTTGTTAGAAATCAAGACATTATGTCTTGACTTTAATTTTCATTTTAGTTTTAAGAAAAATTCATATCTATTTTATTTCCAGTAAAAAACCCCACCCTCATCTTTTTGAAGTGTGTACACATTGTTTGAAATTTGCTCTAATTTAGAAAGCTTTTAGAATTCATGAACATAAAGCATCTTCATGATGTGATATGGTGTAAAGAACAAGAAGGTATAGTGTGATAGCTAAGTATGACTTAAAGATACCATTGAGTATTAAGTAAACAAAAAATAAACCCCAGAATATAGGGAAGGTAAATAAGGCTCCTAAAATCATAGAGACTGCAGGAGGATGTGCTTCGCTGCTTGAGTACCCTTCCAAAAGCAGGAACTTGTGGGCGTTCTTATGTTTTTCAATGAATAGATACAAATGTCCATTGAAATACAAAATTAAATACCTTTCCATGTGCATATTATATAATTATGCCTCATAATAATGCATGCCAGTGATTAATTAATGATGCATAATTAGATTATTAAAAACCTCTATCATTTACCCTTTCTATGAAGAAAAACAAAACAACTTCCTCAGGGAAATGTTAGTGTATCCTGACATGTTAATTGTCTTTTCTCCAAACTCTGCAGTTTTTCACTTAATACATTATAAACCTGTATTTCTTTCCATAGAAATAGAGGTCTTTTGGAGGTCATATTTGTCTTCCAAATCAGCCCCGCTGTTACAATGTATAGGGTTTTAGCAATTTTACTGTGAAATTAGCTAAACTCCCTAGTAAAACAATGGATGCATTTTAAAGGCAAACAGTGTATATTAAGGATGAAGAAAGACATGGAAGAATTGATCTTGAATATAATTCTATTGATGATAGTTTTAGAGACATTCCAGCTCTCACTACTCGGAATTTACATGATAATCTGCCAATGAATATAAGAAGGTTTGGCAACTTCCAGTATGTTGTACAAGAGAGCGCATTCTTCCCTTCTCTTGCATAGTCTGCTTTTGCACTTCCATTGCTATTCTGTGCTGTCAGCTATGCAACTGTTACAAGGGAAGAACGGAGGATTGGATTGGATATAAAATGTTTGATCCGCTGAGAATGCTTATATAATTAATGTCATAATAATAACAATAATAATTAATGGAAAAATTCTGAAGGCAGAATAGTTACAAGCATGTAAGTCATTTAAGGGCTACGTTCCTTCTTTTTTAAGTGATGTGAGCTTAAAACCTATTGTCAGTGGCATATTTCCTTTAGGGTCAGTTTCATAAGTTAGGTAGAAGTACACCTTAAGTGCATGTTTCCTTTGAATTTCATTGAATTTAGTTTTCTTAATCAAAACTTTTAAATATGCTAACAACATTAAAGTAATTTGCATATGTGTGTAAGAATATGGAACATACCTGTCAGACAAATAAATCAGGAGAGACTGCTGACATAGGTTTTTTATGTTTTAATTTGAAGGATATAATTTTAATGCCTTTCCTAATACTACTTATTACATTTGTCCATATTTTTAAACTATGGAGGTTTACTATGTCCACTGATTGTGCTGAACTTGTTTCAAGTATCTGCTTTACTATGTTCCTCATAATTTTATTATTCCTGTTAAGTAAGCAATAATAATCTCCACAGAAAAAGGGAAACGCATCTATTGCATTTAAGCATCTAATAAATATATCCTTAGATAGCTAATAAACAGCAAACTGATGATTTTTACCTGCTATGCTAAACACAATGACATTATTTATTCCATTCTGGTTTTTTGTTTGTTTTATTCATGTGATGGGTGTGATCATAATGCCAGTTTGTTAGTTCTTAAAAAAAAATAAAAATAAAAATTAAAGATAGTTAAGGATGTATCACACAACAGATTTTTAATACTTAGCGGTGCTGTGGCAGTATAAGCAGTATGTAATCATGATTACATTTTAAAAAGACCGTGACCATAATCTCACAAAGGATAACTTGACTGAAATTAACATAGGGTATCCTATCTCTCTTAAAATTCAGGTTTTTATTTTTAAAAACACCTCTTGGAAGTGTATTTGTTTTGTAAATCGTAATTATCACCATTGCATCAAACATCTGTATGGCATTGTCTTTATTCTGTAAATGTTTGTAAGTGTGGTCTTGATGTAGAGACATATGAACCCAGCTTGCTACAGTTGTGTCCTTCACCTTGCCTTTTTTTTTTTTCTTCATCCCTTCCCATATTATGTTTTATATAATTCCTTTTCTCTGGTGCAGTGAGTGTCTATAATTTGTTTTTACCAAGAGCCTTGATAATTTCTAAATACTACATGTTAGGTAAATGTTGCTCAGAATGCATCTCTTATATTGCTTTAATAGATGGATAAATTGGGAGTCTGTAATGGAACAAAATTCAGAGTTGATGGTCACATAAGTAATTAAATTTAGACAGATCACAGTCTGAAAGTTTTGTTTTCTGCCCTGTTTTGTTCATTACAGGACTTGAATATGTTTAAAAATAGTGTTACTGATGGCTAACATCCTTAGATATTGAATGCTCTTTGATAACTAACATAATATAACAGTTTATTGGTTTATCCACTGGTTTTAAGTTTGCTTATTGAATTCTGTCTCCTGCTGCATGTCTTTTTACTTCTAAATACAATTTATATAACTTTCTAACCTGTATTTTATCTTCATGCATTAATTTCTTCTTTTTTTCCCAGCCAGTGAAAATGTAGTCATCAATCAATTGTTCCAGTCCAAGCTGACACAAACTGGATCACTTATTCCTCCATATCATTCCCTTAAAATCAAAGGGTGTAAAGCAGCTTTGCTGAGTAAAAAACCTTCAGTAGCCTGTGCAAGTGGAGAAGCAAAAAAATACATTGAGCTCAGCAAGGTAACAATTTAGGACTCTTTCTGCTCTTTGCTCCTTGAAGATTATTCTCAGTTAATTTGTAATTTCTGAAAGCTCCTTGTTCTCTGCTTTATTCTCTGTAGTCATTAAACTATTAAAACAATCTAGTGCTTAATATGAACACTAAAGGAATAGTGAGAACTAACAGCTTGTAATTTACTAACAGTAGTAATGCTGGTTCAAGAACCTCTTTCTTGGACTCTCTGAGCAGGAGGTTGGGCCAGATGATGAGGTACCTTCAAGCCTGAACCATTCCATGATTTTGTGGTTCCAAGGCTTAGCAATGGATGCGATATTGCTGATTTGGGGCTGTATAGGAACACTTCTTTGTTTTGTCACCTTAGCTGACTTTATGATGAACAGTTAAGTAAATTAAAGCATAGGAAGCGGAAAAATAAAACCTCAATGCCTTTATTGTGTTAACCTGAGAAATTTCCAGTTTGCAGAAGATAGTTTTTGTGATTTTGTATGAAGATCAACCCTGTATATTTTGGAAAACATTGTTACTTTAAATGGTCACTTGCATGTCAATCTTCCCAGTCAATTTGAAATCAAATCAAACTGTCTCCATTTCTGAACTTCTCTATTTTTCTGCTAGCTAAGTCAACCAAAAAGTTAAAAAAGAACCAAAACAAAAAGGAAGGGGGGGGGGGGGGGGGGAGGAACCTGGGAGGCTATCAGAAAATTAAGTGTTCATGTCACATGGAATATCCCTCTTTTGATGAGAAATTAGATGATCTGCTGAGTCCATTCTTGACAGAGCTTTGGAATTCCTCCTTCTTCTAGAAAAGAAGCAAGCAGTTCTCACAATACATCAGCTGCCTCACCAGGCTTCTTGAATCTTATGACTCTATTTTTGGCTTACAGCTGCATAAAATTGATTCGGTCATGGGATTAAGGAGCCCGCTCTCATGTGTCGTTGTGGAAGGCTTTATGCAAGTACATCCATAGAATAGCAATGGGAGTTTCCTTGTAGCCCCCCTGCTGATAGCAGCATAATTCCTGTCTACTGTTCTTGTCAGTAATCTCAGTGGAAAAACTTAAGTTGAAGTGAATGGTGTTGGTTTAAGGCTATATTTAGCAAACAGCTGAGGAATCACAAGGTGCCTGTAGGTGCCTTTCCACTATAGTAACAGCTTCCTAGAGGAAGCTTCCTAAGGCTGTGAAAAAGATCCTAGTCCCATACATGGAAGGAAGTATGAAAAGCATCTCTAAGTTAGAAGCCTAATCAAGCCTGTTTCAAGGGAAACACCACACAGCTGGGATCTCTGAAACTATGAGGTTTTTGAGCAGTCCAGAATAGCTTTTAACCTGGAGTTACTCTCTTGAGAGATAGAAGACATATTCAAATTCCTTTGGGAAGCATGATAAATTAAGTCAGAAATTCCAGATTCAGTGAGAATGCTCTAAACTTTTAGGTATTAGATGGAAGGTGAGAAGAACTTCATCCTTCATCTGCCCACAGAGACAAGGATGGCTTGGCTTCTCAAAGGTAGGCTTTGAGAAGAGCTGCGCAGGTGAGACAGAACACCACTTAGCTTGGAGATACTAAGTTGGCCTAATTTGAGCAAGGTACCGTGCTGCCCTGCAGGATGGAAGCAAAACTTTAGGTATCTAAGTTGTTCCAGTGGCAAAAAAGAGGCACGTGTTGTTTTGGAATAGGCACCTGATGCAGGAGCTGGAAGTAGGTAAGTGCTTCAAGTATTCTGTGGATCAAGCCCACATCTATAACTCTGCTGTCCCAAATAATTTCTTCCCTTTTCCAGTATAGCCTTGAAAATCCACTGTGATGGGCTGGAATAATGTTGGTTTTGTTGTTTTGTTGTTGTTATTATAATTGGAAATGCAATGTAAGGGACATTTTCTTGTCAGCATAGAATTAAAATGACTATATGATGGAAAATCATAACCACTGCATTTTTATTAGAGTTTATCCTGAGGGTAAAGACAATAAAGAGGAAAAAAAAAAAAAAGAGAAAGTGGGGAGGGGGAGAAAGAGGGACATTAAGGCAAGAATTATCAACCAGAGACTAGCATTCCTTTTCTATCTGAAATCTGAGTTGTAACATACATCATACTGTAGGCAGTGAGAAATGCAAAATGGAAGGTGTTCATGTTGCTGTGTATGGACAGTCATCTAGACTCCACCATGTCCAGGAAAGAGAAGAAGATGCTTTCAGAGGCCAGATAAGAGTTTGCTGTGATTCCCCTCCCCTTGCAGCTTCTCATCTGCAGTCCTAGCTACTTGCTAAGTTATATAATTATAGATTTCTCTGTGTATGGCCATGTATCTACCTGTTTACCTTCCCATAAATGACTTTTCCCTTGATTTTGGGCATGCTGTCACATGTAAGGATGGTCTACCACTTTGAACTCACCACTCTATTTGTAGTAGTGTCCAAGAGAACAGTGTATCCATCCTAAGATAGACATGAACAGATCTAGTAGCTGGCCAGAATTTTGGAGCACATAAGGAGTCACAGCAATTTGGGGATGTCAGCTTAAGTCTCTGTGACTTACGAAGTCTGTGTCCCATTTTCAAATAAAACATCTTTTTTGATACTCTCACAATTCTCGTTTGCTCACAGCAGCTCTGTAAGCTTTTCCTAGTGCATACTTTGGCCCTGTCACCTTCCCCTCACTTCCTTTGGAAGAATCAGTGACTTTCAGAGTTCATACAGCAGAAGGCTAGTCACATGAATGGCCACCACTAACAGAAGGCTTTTCTTTCCATTGACTTTATGTTGTTCCTCTTTATGAACACTTTGTTTCATTGTCTGTTCGTTGAAGAACTCATCTATTGCAAAGCTTTTGGTATGTCTTCTGATTAAAGCTTTGAAATATTCTGCTGGTAAAGAGAGATTTTTTAGGAGGAGGAAGTTTTAGCTTCTTAACAAAGATTACAAAGTTACATACATTATTTTTTTTCTGTAGGTTAGAGGTACAAGATTTTCCAATGTAAAGCTGCATATTAGAGGTTGATAGAGAAGTACAGCTTTGGTGATGTAGTCTTGTTCCTTAGCCCATAGCTGAAGATATCCAAGTTTGAAGAGTTTGAATTAAATTAATTTTTTGTCTTTGCCTTGTTTCCTTTCTTTTGCCTCCCTCATTCTGAACCAAACACTTCTTTCCCATGGGAAGAAGTATGTAACACAGGACAGCAGGCAGGAACTTTAGAATACAAAGCGTTGTTCCTGGCTCTTCCACTAACTCAAGAAATGGTCTTGAACTAGTGACTTAATCTGTCTGTCAAGTGGAGAAAACTATTTTAGCTATATGCCTCAATTATTTGGTAAACTTTAACTGAGAAGTGCCATTGGCATGCTAGTGGTTCTTTTTATGAGAAGACCTGGAGCAAGCAGATCTCTTTTACTTTTTGGTTTTGAAGTTGGGGGAGAATTTGCCGTTAAAATCTTATTGATAGTGAGATTTGAAATAAAAAAGAGCTCCAAAGTTTAGCACAGTGAGTAGAGAATAGCTTGCACTGCAGTATTTTTAATAGAGTTTGGCTTGAGTGGGCCAAGCTGAGGAAGTGCACACTTTTTTGATGCAGCTGGAAGAGGACAGGAGCAGGCCACAACATGCTGATTTGATAGAAAGAGAGTTTTGTGGGGTAACTGGACTGGAGAAAAGCAATGAAAAAAAGTCAGAGATTAAAAAGTTGTCATGATACAGAGGTTTGAATCTAAGAGCTTGGCCAAATCCTGGATTGCAATAATTTTGCCAGCCTTCCTGTACAAAAAACAAATTTCTGGGACCACTTTTAGGATTATTATTGCCATTTTAGTCCCAAAGATAAGAAATAGAACAACAAAAAACAAATTTGTTCCCCACTCCCAACTCTGATGTATAGGATAACATTGGTTCTAATGAGATATGAAGTTATTGATAATTTATGCACAGAATGTGTGAAAATGGGTAAAAAAAAAAAAAGCAGAAAAGGTTAACTGCATTCACTTGTGCAGGAAGAAAAGAGAAGGGTTTTTTAATATTAATATTATTTTGTTTCTTCAAGATTTTTTTATGATCTGTGCTTACATTTACTCACTTAAGCATCTGCCAAAGACATAAGGAACCTTTTCAGAGTTACAGAATTATGCTACTTATAGGCAGACTGTATGGGACACTAACTGCACAAGTCCTGCTTCTGCAATAGAGTTCCAGATCATATTGCTTTGCCCAGTTATTTGGAAAAGGTATTTTATCTTTCCAGGGGTATACAGCTGCTTTTGAAATCACAAGTTTCTTGCCACAAATGGCTCTGCAGATACTTAAGGGTATTTATCCACCTTCCCAGTTCTTTCTGAAACTCAAATCATTGATTATGGCATACTATTTGTATAAATGTTTGCCTTTGTTAATAAATTGTGTAACAATGAAAATGAAGGTTTACTGCCCATCTGGAGATAAAGGTATTGTGTGTGTGCTTTTCTCCTCCACAGCTGTTGAAAAAGAAAGGAACATCCTCATTTCTCCAGAGACTGGAACGAGGGGGCCCAACCACTGTGGCAATACAGCTCAGGGTCAGTGAACATCTTCTGGATAGAAATTAAAAAAACAAACAAACAAACAAAAAACATTTTAAATGCAGCATCTACAGATTGCAATGGAAGAAAGAAAAATCATGCTTGAGAAAGCCAGTTGCATGGCCAGATCAAGCCTTTGAGAAAATTGTATTTGAAAGTTAGGAAAAGCATACATGTTGAACATTGCCTTTGCTGCACAATAATGATTGATAACTGATTTTTTTTCCACAGAAATCACTCACAGATATTATTGGGAAGCTGCAGAACTGCACACCACATTCTGTTCATTGTATAAAGCCTAATAACTCCAAGTTGCCAGATACTTTTGACAATTTTTATGTGTCTGCTCAACTGCAGTACATTGGTGTCCTAGACATGGTCAAAATCATACGACATGGATATCCAATACGTCTCTCTTTCACAGACTTCTTGTCAAGGTAAATTCTTTCAAGTTTCCTAAAAACTTTTTCTTACCTACAGTACAAAGCCTTCTGTCATGTTCTGGTGGTGCTTGCAGTGTTGTTTCGCTGATGAGCCTTTCAGACTTTCATCAGAGAAAAACCATGTCTGCCAGCAAGGAGTGTAGGCATGTTGTTTTTTAATTGAAGGAATCATGAACTTTGTGGAAATATATTTATAAATATTATCAATGAAATGTATTAAATTTAAAAAATATAACTTCATAAAATAGCTATATTTTTATAATTTATGCTATTTATATGATTTATGAAATAAACAATATTTCATGTTGTCTCCAGGTAATTAAAAAGCAGGAGGAGAAATAGTCTAATTTTTCAAGTTTATCGGTGTAGGTGTCGTGGGTTCAGTATTTGTGTTTCATATGCTAGGATTTGTTTCTGCATCGTGATGAGTTATTGATGCTCATATCGTAACTCCATTTTTATTATTGTTGTTAGAAATGAGTGCCATTTGTAATTAATGTGAAAAGACAAAAAGGTATATGTCATGACTTCTAGCTGAAGGCAAACTCTTTTCCCCCATCCCCAATTCAGTTTTGGGGTTTTGGCTCACTTACTTTCTCAAATGCTTCGGCAAAGAAAGATCACCTCTTGTCCAAGAGATGTTTGGTTCGCAGCCTCATGCACTCAACACATGTTCCTCCTCTCTGCATGTTCTACTCCTTGACTGATACATCAAGCACTCATGATCTGGCCTATGTTTTGGTTTACTTTTGAAAAACAGCATGGAATATCAGCTGCTTACACATATCTAAACTTTCAGTTGCCTTCTTGGAAAAGTTGTGGATGTTAAATTACTGCTTGAACAGGATCATATTCTCTCTGGCAATTCTGTAAATATTCAAAAAGGGCAGGAGTACAGGAGTTTATAATCCCACGTCTTTCAAATGTAAGCCATCTCTGTCCTACTACAATATTCATCCTGCAGGGTGAATCCAGAATTGCAGGCTGGTTGAGGAGAAGATGCAGAAAATGGGAGCTTTGGAAAAGCAGCCTGTTTCCATATTCCGAAGTAGTAGGGGCAATCTCTATATAGCCATTTCTATATTACTGAATTGGACACTTCAAGGGACTATTACATGGGCACAAAACCACAATCTTTCCTACTGTTAAATCCTGACAATGGTTCCTGGCGGGGATTTGGTCCTTGCCACCTAGCTTTTCTCACTGCAATTCCCAGATAGAGCTTAGAGGTTAGCACAGGCCTGGGACCATTCCTGGTGGGCAGTGTGGAGGTAGCTGCTCTCTTTCAGAGGATAAAAGAGAGTAGCCATATGTACAAAGGTCATTTTATTCAGTTGGCTTCAGTGCTGGAGAATGGTCCCATGCATGTTTACCCTAACAATATATGCTTGAGTCCAGCATATTGTCTTTTTTGGAGAAACTTTATTTAAAAATGTCCCTAAAAGAATGTTTGAAGATTCAAATATAATTTCAGTCTTTTTCCTCCAGTCCTTCAAGTACGTCCCAAAGACAAATTTTTACCTAAAAGTCTAGAGAACATCTGGTGTCTCACAATAAATATGTATTTGCAGTAATGATAGTAAAACAAGAATAGCAATAAACCCCAACAATATGATGATAGCAACATTTATGCTATTATTTTAAAGTGGTCTAATTTTGTTACTGTCCATCTTTATCTCTTTTCCTCCACAATAAATTATAGGTTCTTTGCAGCTGAGCCCCTGTCTTTACCTATTTGCACCGGCTCCTAATAATTGCATTATTATACATAAAATTAATTAAACAGTGGCGGAGCTAGCACGGTGTCACTGAAAATGAAGTCCATTTTATAATATTCCCTGTGAATATATGTTGAACCTACTCAGAAGTTAGCAATAATCACTCTGCATACATCTCTTGACACTACTGATTTTTAGATTTCCATACAAATAGGAAGACAGAGCTCTTGTCCCAGCAGTACTGCAAGAAACCATCAGTGTCACAAGGCTTTTACAGTAGCCGTTCCTGTCATACAGGCCAAAGCTTATCTTATTTTGAACAGCAGAACATGCGAATTCTTCACTTTACTCACCATGACCGGTTAAGCTTCATATTCACATTCAGTGTACTTGAATAATTCTTTTCATTTCAAACAGTGCCAGCATGTGGCTCTTTGTTTGGTTCCTGGGTGAAAAGTACAAAATTTGTAAGCGAAAATGCGAGTATTAGATTGCAGTTCAAAAGTACTATCGATTCTTAATGCTGTATTTTTTTAGGCAATAGACTATAGGTAAGAAAGAGTAAAGGACTGTTGAATTCAGAGATTATGAACTACCTTTTCAAAAAGTGTCCTAAAAAACCTGTCACTTGTACTATTTGCTAACTCGCAGCCTAACTCTGGTCTTGTCCTGCTATTCATTGGTTGGAATGAGAAATTGTTTTGTTGGATTTCCATATATGCTTATAGATCTGAAGTTCATAGACTTTCTCACATTTCAGTTTCTTATTTCCTTTGGTGTCAAACTGGTATTTCTAGTGTTCTAATACTTGGGAAAATAGTATTTTCTCTATTTCTGCAGTTATTTTTCCTCCATCATGGCTCTTCTACTTCTTTGGCATGGTTCAGAATGGTCTGTGATTTCCAGCCCCTAGGTGGGCAGCATTGGTTGCACTGGTATGTATTTGGGCAGACTTTGAGCACAGGCACTAAGCTACTGGGTGTGATGGCTTTCCAAGAGCTGCTTCTTGCAGAACAGTCAGGATGCTGCACATAGTCTAAACCTCTCTCTCTGAAGTACTGGTTATTATTCTTCAAGTTGCAAAAGAGAGAAAAAATGACATGGACCTAAATTTTAGTTAGGGTCCCTCCATCCCAAACCAATACAAATACCATAGAAACAGGTAAAATATAAGATATCAGTTATGACAAGTAGTGATCACAACAAGCCTCAGTGATACTGGTACGTATGTGAACAGACTCCATTCTGAGCTACCCTGGAACCAAGAAGAAAAGAAAAAAAAAAAACCAAACAAAAACTATTGTTCTAGATAGAGATGGATAGTTAGAGGCTTAGTTAAAATCTCATAATTAAGGAAGGTTCATGACTAGGAGTAGGATCTGAAAGACAAGGAAGGCTTGCTGAAATATATACCAACTTGGTAGGACCTCCACTTTGTGTGGTATTTTCTCATCCACAAGCAGCCATCATACTCAGAAGCCCAGGGATAAAATACAGCTCTATCACAGTGAATGAGGATGATGTTCTTTTATTTTTTTTTTTTTTTAATAGGGAATAAATGTATTTTTTTAACATTACACTGTTTATACTGAGGCGGGAGGGGCAGAAAAATCAGGAAACAAAACACAGGGAAAGATGAACGAATGGTTCTTTATTAACTGTAGGAAGCTGTTACCAAATGCTCTTACTGGGCTGAAAAAGTTTAGCCTCCCCATGGCTTGCCCTAAGGGGCAAAGGAATTACTTCCCGTTACTCTGGGGAGAAAGACCTTGACAGCTTACAACAAAAAAACACAGAGGGAAAGAAAAAATAGACAGTTTCCATCTCTTAACTCAATGATGGATGCACCTGGGGATAACTAAATTTGCCCACACCTTAACTTTTTCTTGAATGTTTTGTAAGAAATGGAAATATAAGTCATTTTTGCTTTATTCTGGCATGCTCTGCTGTGTCCTTGCTTGTAAATACTACATACTAAGAAGGACTCTCAATTTTCACGCAGGTTTTCTCTTTTGAAGAGGAGGGTTTCCTCCCCATTTGAGTCATGCTAACTAGCAATTTGACATTGTGGCCCCAAAGCAGGAAAAATAGGCCTACAGGTGTAAAACACAAGTTATCTTGCTATCCTGATATAGTTGATAAGTGTGATCCTATGAACTATCGATCCAAGCAATGACAAGACTTAAAGGTCACACAATGCATCCGTAGATGGGTGCCTGTGAGAGGTTTACCCATAACTGTAAGATTTTCACCTTCAGTTTGTGTCTTGGAGTCCTTCTGCTGGCCTGAGTTTCAGTGGATGCAGCTGTGTGGTTCACAGCTTGGCTTAGCTCAGCTGCAAAGTGTTTTATAGTAGTGATGCAAGGAAAATTTGTTTTTCTAGAGCTGAATGTACTATGCAGTCCTTCCAGGCTTACCTGGCTTGAGAAGTAACGGTTATTAATACTGGGTTGGAAAGCAGGGTGCAAAATCAAAGAGAAATTGTGGCCTGGATCCCAACTTGAATTCCCAAAAGATAGTGAAATGCTACCTTCCTCCACCTTCCCTGCAGTTTTTGTGCATTTACATTTAGGGTCTTCCTTATCACACTCCTTAACTAATGTGGGCAGAGTTAAAAAAATGAATTAATGAAAAAATTAACCCCCTTTTTTTGCTGGCTAATAAAAAGACAGAATGTTTGAATTAGGGGCCTTTGTAGTGAAGGAATAGAATATCAGAAAACCTGGATATTCTATCTGTAATACAGAGAGTACTGGTGCTTTCTTAATTGGATGAATTTGAATACATTTCTATTAATATCTTATTAAGGATTAATATGACTGGTATATTTGGGAGTCACATTTGAACTCTTGTGACGGCTAAAGAATGACAGTAGCTAAGGAAAGGTCATAGTTTGCAAGAGCACTTTTTTTCTGGGCCACAAAGATTAATCATTATTTCTATCGCTGTCCTTTTTGGATTTACTGGTTCTGCTTCTGTATTATCAAAGTAAAAGTTGACAGCTGCTACGTGAACCCCTCAATCACCAAAGTTCATTGGTTAGAAGAGAAATCTTGTGGAAATTCTGGTTCTTAAGTGGAAGCTGTGACAGTTACTGTCAATGAATATATAATAAAAATGGAATTAATAAGGTCAGATGCTATTAAATGCTGTAAAAACAGGCAGCACCAATATAATTATGAAATGATATATGTGATTTCAGTGGCTTTGCCAACTCCAGCTGCAGTGTTTCTGCTGAATTTGCCTGCAGTGTTGGCTCAGTTTCTAAAGCTCTTT